ACAGCGTTGCAGCTTCATGCGATGATTCCTAATCAAAACTAGCTCAACACACCTCTCCACTCCTTAGATCATCCATTCCACTGGTTTGGCACCTTTCTCGAATGCGAGCGCATCCCTTGCAGCAATTCATGCAATGTGACTAAAGGTCACACGACCTCTGCATGCCGTCTGCTCAGCTTTTTATGCGCGGCACGCACACACATGCATTTCGCCGCGCGGCGAACGATGCGGCGAAAGACGATGTGGTGGCGCACGCAATAGCGTGTCGCTGCGGCGGCATTGATCGACCGTCGTTCCAATGCGGAGCCATTTCTGAGGAAGACATCGTTCCAAAGCGGTATGTCTTATGTTTCCAACAATATTTTTGTGACCTAGATTTGTAGATTTTTTCCCCATGGATTGCCAGCATGGTTTACTTCCTAGCTCTCATCTATTTCAGTTCTGTTTTACAAAATCTTTATAGCATGGAAGGGGTCCTTGGGTTCCCAATAAAGGGGAGTGATGTGCAGAGAGCTAAATGCGTTTGAACTTAAATAGATTTCTGTTTCATTGGTGCTGAGTTCAAAATTTATCCTCAGGAAGGGAAGGGAGATTGAGTGGTGGGAAAAACTCCGTGCGCATGAGCAGTTTTTGTTTTCCTTGGAGTTCGTTTCGCACAAAACCCAAATAAACCGTGTGAATTTGGCTGTAGTCCACTAAGACGGAAACTGACTTTGGTGCTATACAAGTAGGGTGGGCACGCCGCATTTTTTGAACAGAAATGTATGTAAGTGGGACTGCTGCCCGCTACTATACTGTCACGAGAATCGGGGAATTCGTGAGCCAGGGGGAGTGTAGCCAAAGGGGGGGGTGAGGGCAGTCACTTGACATGCGTGAAAAGCTGGGCGTGCCCACCCCACTTGTATAGACGCCCCGGCTTTTCCTCTTACCGCGGCCCGGAACTTTCGCTGCAGGAGACAGGTCCGCTACTGATCAAGAGTGGTTCCGGGACCCTCGCACCTGAAAAGGTCGAGCGCAAATATGTCGTGGGGAGCAGACGGCGTTGGGCAGCGCGAATTCGCGAGCCAGGGCATGTAAGCCATTCTGGTCGGGTAGGCATTCACTTAAAGTGCGTAGAAGCCTGAATGTCGCCCCCCCCGATCCTCATTGGCGCCATGTTCGATGCTGCGAAACGGCCAAAGACACATGTCTGCTTAACCCATAACGGACGGCGTGCGCCACAAGGTGGCGCACGACTATTTCTTTTGTTTTTGGAATGTTTCTAGCAATCTTAATATACCCATATATACTCTCAGCAATGTGGAATAACATATCTTCCCAGGACCTGGACGGCTGGCATTTTTGACAAACCTACAATAAATTTTGTTTTAATTTACATAAGTTTATTATTTGATGGGTGGCTTTACCCATGGTTCGCACGTCCCGAGACCCCTTCCCCTAAATATAGCCACATCCTTGCTCGGGGTTGTTGTTTCGCATTTTTCGATAATGTCACCTACAGCTTCCATTCATTCTTTGCACCCTAGTTTTAGAGCGGAAGGCGGGCTACGAACTTGTCGTCAACGGAAATCTCTTTTTTCGGATGATGAGACTCCGACACCTACTTTAGCCCCGTCTTACCCCTGCTGTTCACATAAGCCTACATAAACCCTACCCTGGGTGGCGGCGTGCGCCACATGGTGGCGCACGCGAAAAATACACTGGCCGTCCGTTATGGGTTAAAGAACCTCATTTCAAACTGATATATCGTAATAATAGAATATCAGCCGCTACGTAGTTTAACCCATTTGAATTCTGTCTGTGGTGTCTTGTTTTCTTGTTTTTCACGCAACACTGAGATCAGCAGCAAATGCATCGTCAGTGCCATCCCCTCCCATTGGTAAATCAACTTTCTTGCCGCTAACTATTGGGTGGGGGGGGAGAAGGGTGCAGTCGCACCGGCTCGCGAGTGTTTCGCTCCCTCCAGAATAACATGAAGCCGTGAGCCTACAGGGAATTCGGCAACTCAGGATGGGTTAGGGGACAGTCACTTGACGTGCGCCAAAATCTGGAATGTACAAGTTTACACTATTTCGCTGCGAGAGCGCATACGTGCCGCGCGCTGTAGCGGCGACTACCCCCTCGAGCTAAGTTAGCGGCAAATCCTTTTTGAGCTCTTCATATGAGAAGTGCTTCGTGAGAGCTGACAGCGGAGTGAACATGCTTTCAAATGGAACCATTCTTTTGGAAGTACGTGAAAATTGCAAGCGATTACTCCATCCCAACCACTTTTCAGGAATATAAGGAATGGTTGATACCTTAGTGTGTATAATCTTGTGAACCAAATTCAGAATTTGTTTGGTTGTATGGAGGGAATCCTTCAGACTAGAGCAGAGCACGAAAAATTAGTTGAACGACTATTTCGTATAATACGCGGAATGGTATGGAAGGGACGCTGCTTATCCACATCGCGTTTGGATCGCAATCGCTGGGTCTGCGTCCTGCGGAGCAATACTCAAGCACTTCCGCTCCCCTCCGGATCGTCTAAAAAGTGGTAACGAATAACTTCCTATGTACGATAAGAAACGTTACTACGACTTTGGATGGGTAGGGTCCTGCAATGAGATAGTGTATTCAGTGGTGGCGGCACCTTATCAACGGCGTGATAGGGCGCCAAAACCCCCTCCAGGTCAGCAACTACACCTATGATCGTGGCGTCTTAGATATGATACTGTTATCGGCATCGTCGACTTTTCTTCTTGAGTGCACTCATCTGCGCCATCAATATCTTCTTTTCATATGGCATCGTATCTTAAGTAGGGTTACTCTCGTCCGACAATTATCTATCTCAGACCTTATCGGTTGATAACGCAAGTGGTAGCAGACCCACGTGGAAGCCAGCGTGATCGCTGCCTCTTAATTGGTACCAGGCTTGTCTGGGAGCATAAAAACACTGACTTGTACATCGGCTGGTCCCCCCAAGTCATTGTACAAGCCAAATCGCATGCACAGTTGAACTCACTAGCAAATGTATAAATGGAAGTGCTCAAAATAGATTGATAAGTGGCAGATCTTTATTGCATTTACGCAAATTATCCCGTAACCGCCGGGACCTTCCTTTCCTGCGCAAGCTTTCTATCCTCCGCTATGGTCCCTTCCTCCTGTGACACCAACACCTCTGGAAGTGACGCGTATGCAACACAATGGTGTTTCATACAGTAGAAGGGACACAATCATGATATGACGGTAGATTTTTCGCTTCCCTTCCTCATCCTCCCTTCCTCTCTCCACTGCCCTCCAGCTGCCACTGCAGCACCATGTGGAATGAACGGAAGTGTGCTAAGCAGGTGTTTATATAGCCCTAAGAGTGTTATCACAACTATCCTGCTACAAAACATTGATATCTCAAATCCTGTAAGCTACCCGATTTGTTAGCGGTTTGTTTATCCCATGAGCTTCCTTCTCACTCACTTCATTTTGCGGACGGACACACACATACATACATACACACACACATACAGACATACAAACCGACACACAAAGTTAGCGCTTTATAAAATAGAAGGATTTTTCAATTCCTTTATCCGCATACACCACTACACCAGAACCTTCGTTTTGCTGACGACATCGTTCTTATAACGCCGAACATCGAGCAAGCGGAGCGAATGCTGGCTGATTTCGACTGCGCCTGTGGTAAGGTTGGTCTGCAGCTGAACCTAACGAAGACGATGTTTATGAGAAACGGATTGGTTCCTGATGCCCCATTCACGCTCAACGGAACGAACATCACCGAATGCTCCAGCTACGTGTACCTAGGTCGGGAAATCAATATGATGAACGATCTAGCTCCAGAGCTGAGCAGGAAACGACGAGGGGCGTATAAGAACATCGAGGGAGTAGTGAAGAAGACGAAGAACATCCCCGTGTGCCCACCTCTTCGATTCCGCTGTCCTTCCTGCCCTAACCTACGCCTCAGAGACTTGGACTCTGCGCAGGCAGGACGAGCATGCGGTCAGCGTTATCCAACGCGCTGTCGAGAGGACGATGCTAGGAGTAACCCTATACACGCAAGTGCAGAGGGGAATCCGGAGTGCCGAACTACGCCAACGATCGAAGATCAGGGACGCTGCCGTTTTTTCGCCAAGGAATCGAAGATAAGGTGGGCCGGACACGTCATGCGATTTTGCGATGACCGTTGGACCAGAGCGGTTACCGACTGGATCCCTCGGGACGTCAAACGAACACCTGGACGACCGCCGGCCCGATGGTCAGACTTCTTCACGAAAGCTCTGAACGAAGGAATGAAGGACACCGTGTCCCTCGAGCGAGGAGGGTCCACTGGACAACTCTTGCACGCGACAGGGACGAATGGAGACGTTGCTGGCGCCCGCTCGAGCAATTCGATGATCAACGGGACGACAGGTGATACAGGTGAATTATCCGTATTCCCAGCAACGTTCACCTTTAAAGCTGGCGGCGAATGTTGCTGGGTACACGCGCGGGTTTGGGTCGCTAGGACAGAAGGCGACATTTTCGCTTTCCAGCGCGAAATTATTCCACTACAGAACCCCAGGTCCAATAATGAGCGGGTGGACCTAGGGCTCCCGTAGCGAGTAAAGTTTAGCTCTGCGGAAAGCGAAAAAATCGCTTTTTGTCTTAGCGAACCACACCTTATGCAAGCTGAAAATCTTGTCGATTTTTAAAATTCTACGACTCTCTTCATAGAGTATTGATACAACCCTTTAGCATTATCAGCCTGTGGGATTCTATGCGAACCTCCTTACTCACTTCGACCACCACGTTCGCCATCATGGCTTTTTCTTTAGGTTTAGATCATGAGATCAATTGATGCACTTCAACCCCCACTCCACCTACAAAACCCGTGAAAAACGACCTTCCTACCAGCTCCGAGATTCTCTTTATTGCCACGAATACATATTCAATCGATTTCTGTTAGTTCTCATCAACAAAAATACTCCGCCCCTGAATCGCAAGTACGGCCTGCCGTCTGACTTTGCCAGATGAACGCTCAATTCTGGAGTTATCACCATGTAAAGGGTGAGGCGTATGCAGGGAAATGGAGGTCTCAGTGGGAGACAAGTATAAATATAAAATTAAAAGGATAAAGAGGATAAAGCATTTGCCGTTGATCAATCCCTTTTTGGGATGCGGCACGCATTCTACTTCCATTTGTACATTCGTAGTGGCGTTTGAATGCGATGTGGCCTATACAATGACTTGCGGGGGCCAGCCGATGTCAAGTCAGTGTTTTTATCCTCCCAGACAAGTCTGGTACCAATTAACCGACCCCGGAGGGATGGAAGGCTTGGTTGGCCCGGGCGACTCACGACCCAGGATTTGATCCCCGGACCGCTCGCGTGGTAAGCGTGCCACTTGTCACTACACCACTTCCGCCCTGCCACAAGCAGTCTAATTAACTAAATTTGGGGACAATTCGGTACGAATATAATCAGTTTAACTCAATTTTCAGGCCGGACCTTGTATTTGGAGTAGCTGTGATGGAAGAAGAAGAAGCTGTACCTAGTAAGTGAAATTGCATGCATTCGTTATTTTCATGGAAACTTGGAAAAAGTTTGATAGTTTGGTGCATTGCCGAGTGACACGTTACAGCCTATGTTACGTGTTTGACTAGCATGAAACCCACAGTTCGATAATTGCAGGTGCTGTTGCGGATGGCAATGAGTGTACCGAAGATCCAGTGGTTTTGCTAACAATAGTATCGACTGATGAGAAGCCAACGACTTCGAAAGAAGTCCCTGAGTCCCCGCCAGGTGTTTTATTTGTCTTCATTGATTCCGTTTGCTTTGGAAAAGTTCACGCAAGAACTAATGTTTTTTGTTTAGCTGATGAAGAAAATCCTCGCCGACGCCGGCAATGCAATTTGAAGCTTTCGGGACAGTTATTTTATGGAGTGGTTGAGGCCAGTAAAAGGGGTATTCATCCTGTCATAAGGTACCCAATTCCTGGTGAGCTATTCAAGCACTTACCTCAGATTGAGCTATACCTAATTGACACTACTGCTACTCTCTTCAGATACTGATACATGTTATGCTTTTGAGCATGTGCGCTCCACAAAACGAGGACAATTAGTAGTATACCGGTGCACGAGGTGTAAGAAAAGCGGCATCACCACCAGCATAGCAGTATGAAAATTCTACTTTCTTCCATCATAGTTGGTTCGATTTGGAGTGAGTACTCGGATAGTGTTGTTACAGGTGCAGAATGGATGTGAGTTTATCGGAGATCCTGCGGAACTTCCGCATGTGTGCACTCCATTGAAGAATGCAGAGGACAAGGTGACGAGGATGGTGTACCAGGTAGGAATTCCATCGATTAGTCGTTGACGCGTTTATCAAAAGTAGTGATATTTAGTCATGCCAAGCCATTGCGACGGATCCAACACTTGGTGAGAAGAAACCTAACCAGTTGTGGAAGAGTATTGCGCAGTTCATCGACGATAATGCCCCTGATGGTATATTATTTGCCCACTAATTGCACCTTATGCATTAATTGCAGCCAAGAAAAGAATTAGTTAAGATGAAGCAGAACGTAAAATGATGTTGAAACACTTTTACAAGAGTGGTTATAAGTGCAGACGAAGATCGATTGCTAGGTAAGGTGCCATCCATTCCGAAGTGTACTTCTTAATCATCGACTGGGTGTTTAGGGCAGCCGCGAAGGCTCCACGACCGCAAGATACAGAAGAAAAGGGACCACAGAAACGCCCAGTACCAAAAGCATGGAGTTTAAGGATGAAAAGATGCTCTTTCTGATGGGCAAATCATTCGCGAGGAGTTCATCACGGATGGGCATCTCAGACCGTATTGTTGTTATGAAATTGAATGTTCACGGAATTTTCTACGTTCGAGAACGTCTAGGGGACAACGCTTCAATCACTGTGAGTGGGTTTACGAATATTGTGGAGTTTTTCAACTCTCGCTGCTTTGCAAACATTATACCATTGTGTGCTTCCACCACATATACATGTAAGAGAACTGCTCGTACTCTCATATATATGCTATATGGCTAAAATGTGGATTTAATAGTTTGCAATTCTTCTCTCCCTTTGTTGCTCTTTCTAATTGGGTCACTCTCGCGAAGGAGTGACATGATTTAAATAAAGTTTAATTCCACCATTGATTGACGATCTCTGGGATCTGTAAACATGTGAGTCACGATTGACAGTACAGCATTTTACGTGAAACATTTAATATTAATCTCAGAAAAACACATGAGAACTGTACAATAGCACACAAAAATAAAGCTTTAAGGTATCAATAATCTCCTTCAAATTTTAACTACTCCTGCAGCAGGCAGGCGTTTAGACGAAGCGTGTACGCTTGATCGTACTCTCTCAAACCGAAGATTGAATCCACCTAGGCGACCTAGTTGGATATAAGGAATCTCCTTGCCGCCCTCGTGGTATTTCTGGAAAACACTTTTTCAGAATAACGGAATCAAAATTATGGGCCGTATGCTATGCTTCCCCGAAGCTAAGTGATCCAAAGTTTCCTTTAAATTTATTTGTTTTGAACGATATAGTTTCTTCATTTTCAGTGCACGTTTACTTTTACCTACATACATACATTAAATGTAGGTCCTTTATCAGGGCAATCCCAGATGGGAAGACAGAAAAATTTAAAGGAATTCCGTCCCCTAACTCATTCGGGGAGAATAGCATACGGCCCCTATCCTTCATTTCGATGGGGAACTGTTCTGTGAAATATTTTGAAAAGTTGGAGTACTCATGGTTAGTGGAACCTCTGCCTAATTGATAAATTGCAGTCAAAATCTAACAATATTCGAGCCGACCTCTGTAGGGTTCTCTCAACTCGTATTAGTAGTATTACTTGGCATTCTCATTTTCTTTTGGCGAAATATTTTTGAGAGAATAGCTAAAAATTCGAAATAAATTTTTGTGGGGGGAGTATGCCTAGAAATATCTGCTTGACTCATTCTGGTATATGAAGACGTCCAGTTTTTGCTTGCAAATGCAAAAGCTTTGTCCCTCACAGCGTATTGTGCAGTTTGGATCGTTAGGATGCGCAAAGGTCTGCAATACGCCTATGAAATCGTTTTTTTTTTTCTAGAAGGCGCGAATCAATTCCTACACTATGGTTCTAAAAACAGAGATGGTGATCAGCGCTGATACTTTCTTCTGAGATAAGCTCCTCCGAGCCGTTTGCCCAACCTTCATAGTTCTTTTAACCCTTTCCGGACCGCCTGACACCCATGGGAGTCAGAACCGATTTGCTCCCTGTGGCTGCCTGACACCCATAGTGTGTCAGGAACTAATTTTCCGAGGATTTTCGGCAAAATTTTTTACGTTGTTACATATCTATGTAAGGTACTCACGTCGTACGCATGAACAAACTTAGACTTCAATCAGAGACTAGTGCCTAAAATAACTAAATACTAAATGGATGTCCACTTTGAGCTCAGAGAAAACAGTTATAAATCATTGGGAAAACACTCACCTTACAACCGAATTTATGGCACCACGTGTATGTCGTATCTGACAAACGTTCCGGACATTTCTTGGTCCCTTTTCCCCCATCATACAACTTATTTTGAACAATTTTCATTCCTGCCTCCCTTTTTATGGCCCTATCACTTTTATTATACGACGGTTTTCTGTCATATTCACTACATATATACTCTTAGCATGACAAATACAAAAACGGGACAAAGTAATGGTTTGATGGAAATACAGGTCAAATATATTATATTTATATTCGCCGCGCAGCACGCGGCGGTGAGCATAAAAAGGCGCCGGCCACACGCGCCCGCCACGGCAAAAGTGCGCGGTCCGGAACCTTCGGCCAATTTTCAATTGGGAGTTCCACATCATTCCAAAACAGCCAGTGGGAATTCGATCTCAGGGAACATTGCACGTAGTAAGGGCCTAAGGTACAGTTGAAAGAGGGTTTCACGATAAGGTAGGAGGTTGAAGAATAACTAGCTGGTGGAGCTGCGGGCAGTACCCCCATGGGTGCGGGACCATGCACGTTTCGCACGAAGGGTAAGCCCCAGCGGCCTAGCACGGCAGTACCCACGGCCGCTGCACCCCCACCAAATTGGCTGACCTCTCGCCGTCTGACTCTTGCTGCCTTGGCAGAGAGAGCATTAGTGTGGATGAGGTCGGCACCGACACGCCTAACGCTCAAATCAACGGGCATTCAGGGATCCCATTTATTGCATTCTAGGCCATTTTTTATTGGTGCATCACTGATCGCGTCTATCTGATTTCTAACGAGCTGTCTTTTCATCGTGAACTCCGCCTTTAGGTTTTGCAGAGGAAGGGTTGCTGTTTGCGTGGTCTGATGAACAGTTGACGAAAACACTAAAAATAGGTAGTAATAGTGTGATGAAACGAACCTCTCGGATACCGAAATTCACTGGAACGGCCAGCGATATAGAATCCATACGGAAGCCTGCTGGACAATGTAAGACTCGGTCCGGGCATGATACAATATTCGCCATTTGGCCAGGAGGCTACTGCTTCTGTATTAGAAAACTTCGATTATCCTAGGGCATAGTCATGCTACTTTTCTGTATTAATTGGAAGTGAAGCTCGCCACTATGTGGGGCAAGCGCTTGAGAAAAGGATGCTAAAGGAGACTATACTTTGAAGTCCGAATAAGTTCGAAGGTATACCTGCATGGAAAGGTTTCCTAGTTTGGTCGGCTTCAGAAATTTCGTTCTGAGTGACGGAATCATACAGTGTTTCGAGTGAAGATTCAGCCTTTTCTCCTGAAAAATAACAAGCGGACTGAGGGAATTAAGCAATTTTCTAATGCTCAACCAAAACCTATCATGGAATAAGCAAAA